ACCTCAACCAAAAATACCAATACATCTTATAATATTATTCAAACTTGTTCCAATTATCAAAACGCCTCGACTAATACCAAAATTATCGAATTACACCGAATAAGTCTAAGTTCTTTTAAAACTTCCAAAACACGCTTTCGATCAAAACTCGACCAAAATATGTTCAAATGACTTGAAATTTTGCACACATATCCAAAATGGCATAACGAAGCTACAGAAATTCTCGGAACTCCATTCCGACCGTCNCGAAAATACAGGAAACAACGGTTCGGGTCGTTACAAATTTATTTCATAATTTGATATTTTTCGTTTGTTTTTTTGTTTAAAGTTGATGCGGAGAGAGCGTTGTACACGGAGCTATGGCGTGCATGTGCAGGTCCGCTTGTGACAGTGCCACGCGAGGGTGAGCTAGTGTTCTATTTCCCACAAGGTCATATTGAACAGGTTTGCGTCTATACACGTCCTTTCTAAAACCGTGTATGAGCTTAATTAATTTCGTAAACCATAGTTGTGTCAATGAATTAACTAGGCTTCATATCCATTTTGCTCCATTCCCACTCGATTTAGCTGAGGTGGTTGAACAATTCGACATAGTATGTAGACGGAGATCCACCACTTATTATCAAAACGAACTCCACATGCTTGACTCAGAAAAAGTATTAGGCCCGGATGTCAAGAGGCGTATTGAAGATATAAATACTCCCCATGTCCCAAAAAGAATGGTATCTTTTTATGTTTATAAACATTTAACTTTAAACTTCATGTTTTTCCTTTAATAAAATAATTTATAGTCATACAAATCTTTATAACATGTTTCCAAGTCAAACACCCCACGTAAATTGAGAATTGGGACGAAAGGAGTAATAATAAATAAATGTGTCACCTCTTTATCAACTTAAGTTTTTAGAAGGTGGTCACTCAATTCAACACCTTCTAATCATGAATTCTTTGTATTGTAAGACAAATTAGGGGTTCTCTAGGGCAAATTAGGAGCTTTAGTTGTAGTTGTGACTAATTTTTTTGAGGTTGGAGTGATTTGATGTGTTTGTATGCTAGGTTGAAGCATCAACCAATCAAGTTTCAGACCAGCAGATGCCAGTGTATAATCTTCCTTCTAAGATCCTCTGCCGTGTAATTAACGTCCTATTGAAGGTAACTTTTATTGTTGAATACAAAGTCTTGTTGTGTCCCATATAGTTGTGTAGCTTAGCTTTCCCTTGTTAACTTTTCTTGATGATTGCTAATCCATTAAGGATTATTCAATATTGGTGCTAATGTTTTGATTCATGTGTATTCTCAGGCTGAACCAGATACTGATGAGGTGTTCGCACAAGTGACTTTGATGCCAGAACCAAATGTAAGTTTACAATTTGCTAACTAAGAATTACTTTTTTTTTTTTTTTTTTTTTTTTTTTTTTTTTTTTTTGAAATTCCTACATCGTTTTGAGACTTTAAATTCTGATGTTCGAGTTGGACATCTAAATTAATGGAATGTTCTTTGTAGCAAGATGAAAGTGCAGTTACAAAGGAACCGATGCCCCCTTCGCCACCACGATTCCATGTGCACTCTTTTTGTAAGACACTAACTGCCTCTGATACCAGCACTCATGGAGGCTTTTCTGTCTTGAGACGGCATGCTGATGAATGCCTCCCTCCTCTGGTCAGAAGAATTGTTTCTCAATACAGTTAATGTGCCTGTATTTGGATAATGTAAGTGGCTTATGGTGGTTAATTTTTTGTTATAGGATATGTCTCGGCAACCTCCAACACAGGAGTTGGTGGCCAAAGATTTGCACGCAAATGAGTGGCGCTTCAGGCACATATTTCGGGGTATGATGCTCAATGCATTCTTAATCACCTTGTGCCTTTATATTATGTGACATACCCACCTTTACTTCCTTTTGGGTCAATCTTTGCAGACATAAATTTGCACCATCACAACGTTGCTATTTCATAGATTATAGCCTATTTAATATGTATCTTCATGTCTTCGTTATAAAATTTGTTTGTTCATATATCATGCCTATTACAAAGTTGGAATATTGTGAGTTAGTGACAATAAATCTTGACTTCGGAAACATTGAAAATTTTTGTGCTGATAATAGTTTGCATAAATCTGGACAAAGAAAAGGGATGTGGAGGGGCCAGTGTTTTGGAGAGCGCGAAGCACAAAAAAGCGGCAAGGGCTCGCTTCGTTTCAAAAGCGAAGCGCACGCTTTATTAAAGTGAAGCGCAATTCTTAAAAAACATAATGTAAAATTATAAATAATCAAAAACTTCAATTTAAATACTTAAAAGTAGGTACTAGGTACCACCAAACCTTCCACAAACCATAGGACAAGCAAAATCAAAGCTACTAAATTACTAGAATCAATATCTTATTCTTCTACTCTTCTTCTCCTTCAAGATTGTCAAAATCTTGAATTCCTCTATTATCTTCATATTGCTCATCATCTTCCTCTTCCTCTTCATGATCACCTTCATCTTCATCAATTAGGGATAGGGATCGACTTGTAGTACCCACACTTTTTCCCTTCCTAATAGAACTTGAACTTGGAGTATATCTCCTTAAACTATAAGAATCCTCCCCAACTCCACTACCAACCGCAACATCACCCTAAGTGAAATCGGAGTCGCCTTCAAATACTTCTAAATGTTCACAGTTTTCGGGGACTCCGGTTAGCCACTCATTAACCTCATCAATATTGTCCAAAAGAATTGGATCAATTATATTGCGGTGGTTTTAGCGACGCCTCAATGCTCTATTGTATTTTATGAACACTAGATTATGGAGGCGCTTCAAGGTTAGTCGATTCCTTTTCTTTGTATGAATCTGCAAAAAAGATGTGTCAACTAATTAGTAGGAGTTTGGACAATTGAGATATAATTTACTTTATCTCAAAACACGAAATAATTCTTTTTATTTCTCACGTGTTCAAAAACACTCCAGTTCCTTTCACATCCGGATGAGCTACAAGTTAAGCTTAGAACTTTGATGGCGAAAGCCTGTAACTCCGAAATCTTTACACCATATTGGTCCCACCATTCAACTATAGAAGTCAAAAAAAATGTTCAAGAGTTAATAAGTATAAAAAATACATTGAAGTTAGAGCTATAAAATATAGAAACACTTGGTCACCTGGCGACTTCATCGTTCTTTGTTTAATAGCAAGTCGGAGATTAAAAAGTCCTTCAACTGCCTTGTAAGTAGCAAGCTGATCTACAATCTTTTCTTGCAAGTCTTCATCTGGGTTCAACTTGATAACAACCTGATGGAATCCTGTCCAC